CCACTCCCGGCCCAGAGGTGGCCTCAAGGTTGATGCTATTATCCGCCCCTATGTCGGGGACAATAATCAGCCCGGTGTGTAGACGTTTTTTGCACAAACGAAAAAAAGGTGAACAACTAAGTTTTAGGTTTGACCCCCCCCCCCCCCCCCCCCCACCGGGCCCGTATGCATCGTGGCCCCCAGGGCCGAAGAATATCGGGAGTCGGAGATGTCTTCTCATGATCTGACACGTCAATTTCTAACAGGTCAGCACTTATGGCTCTGTGTACCCTGGCGACGAGGGCAAGTCCTACGGTGGGTATGCGGACTATAACCGCACCAACGGACGTTTTGTCATAAAGATCCCAGACGGTCTGTCCTCCGAGTCCGCGGCGCCCATGCTATGCGGTGGCATCACCGTCTTCGCACCCCTTCGAAATAACGGCTGCGGACCTGGCAAGACGGTGGGCATTGTCGGCGTGGGCGGCCTCGGCCATTACGGCATTCTGTTCGCGAAGGCGCTGGGCGCCGACAAGGTCGTTGGTATTTCGAGAAAAGCATCGAAGAAAGCGGATGTGCTGAGCCTTGGCGCCGATGCGTATATCGCGACAGATGACGACAAGGACTGGGCCAAGGAGAATGGCCGCACCCTGGACCTAATCATCTCGACCGTCTCGAGCCCGAAGATGCCCTTGACGGACTATCTCGGCCTCCTCAAAGTCGGCGGTACCCTCATCCAGGTTGGGTACGTTTTATCCTTTTCACATTTCGTACGTCATCGACGCGTCAATAACTGACATGGTTCAACAGTGCACCAGACGGTGGAGAGCTCCCTCCCATCAACGCCTTCACACTGCTTGCCAGCCAGTACAAGATTGGCGGCAGTGGTATCGGTTCACCGTCTGATATCGCGGAGATGCTGCAGCTCGCGGCAGACAAGAAGATCGAGTCGTGGGTCGAGACGAGGCCGCTCAAAGAAGCCAACCAGGCCATCCTCGACATGGACGCCGGCAAGGCTCGGTTCAGGTACGTGCTGGTCAACGAGAAGCACGCATAAATGGGTATGGCACTTCCTGTACAGGGCAAGCCCACGTATATGAGAAGCACAATGAGTAAATTCGGGTGGACGAGTGAAAATGAAGTAAAAAATCCACGTAATAGTCAAATGCTACGCTATGCTGGGGTGGTGAGGTATGTACGTTGAGCCCATATCAGATCAACGCCTCGCCTACCAAGAGAGAGGAAAAACAAGGCCAAAGACACACTCGCCACTTATGCTTCCCCTCATGGCCTCCAACTCCCATGACTATTGTACTGCTCCGGTACCGGCGACCCAGGCATCTCAACAGCATGATACACAGCCGACGGCTGGTTCGGCACAGGAGCCGCGTCAACGGCAACAGAGGCAAGCTCGTAGACGCCCGGATCCTGCCCATAGCCGTGTCCAGCCGGCACGGCTCCCTGCGGCCCTGACATCGGCAGCGGCGGCGACAGATGCCCCCCCGTCCAGGCCTGATCGGGATGCTGGCCCCAAGCCTGGTGCGCCTGCGCCTGCGCCTGCGGCGGCGACGCCCACGAAGAGGGGGGGTACCCGGGGCTTGTGCCGCCCGCGCTCGTCAGCTCCGACACGGGCCGCCACTTCTTGGCCTCTGCCTCGGCCTCGGCGGCCTGCTGCTCCGGCGTCGCCGCAAACTCGGGGCTTCCTGTGCGCAGTCCCCCCTGGCCGCCGGCATGCCACACGCCCGCCGCGCCGAGCATGGGTCGCGCCTCGTCGTGCGCCTTGCGGCTGCGCCTCGACCGCCACGCCATGGCCGCGAAGCCGATGAAGACGGCGGCGCCGACAGCAGACCCGATGCCGATGCCTGCCTTGGCGCCTGTCGAGAGACCCGTGTCGACAGGCACATCAGAGGGGGTGCTGCTTTCGCTGCTGACGGCCGTTGTTGTTGTCGTCGTCGTCGTCGAGCCCGTGGCAGAGGGCGAGCTCCTCGTCGTCGTGGCCGTCGCGGCCATGCTGCTCGCCCTGGCGCCGAGGGCCATGAATTCGGCCTGGGAGATGCTCACTTCGGTGCCGGAGTCGCTGCAGGCCGTGCGCATTGTGGTGTAGACGGTGAGCAGGGTGTCTGGCGCGTCGGTGCCGATGCAGGTCGCGGCGTTTGTGACAAAGTCGCCGCCGTTGCTGCAGAGGCAGCGGTTGTTGGAGGGGACATCGTCGCCCTTGCATTTTGAGCGGTCGCTGGCGTCGAGGAGACAAGGTCGCGCCGAGGAGGGGTAGAGGCTGAAGTCGTTTTCGGGGGTTTGGGCGAGGGACGGGGATACGAGGAGAATCAGAGAGGCCACGAAGGCGAGTCTCCTTCGTGCGCGAGACATTGTCATGATTGATGGTGATGATGCTGATTAAGAGGCGTGTAAAGAAGGCTGTGATGGTAGAATGCGCCTCGTGGTTTCGTTACTCGCAGTAGCTTCAGGCCGTATTCGAATGTTGCGCCGAATTGGCTGTAAGTCGTCTGATTGCGCTCAGGTCCAATGTCGTTTACGTCGCTCAAGGTATCGTCGATCGCCTCAAGTCCACGGTCCAGTTCATCAGTTCGAGAAGCCTCAATTGAACACCAACATGAGCATCAAGGGGTTGGGAAAAGGAGTGAATCCCACAACCACCCAAGAAATGGGAACCAGCTCAGTAAAAAAGAGAAAAACACGACCCGTTCCGACGGTCAAATTAGCCCAAAGCATGTCGCTCGTCCTCCCAGAAAGCAGGGCTCAGCCTGGCAACATTCTCAGCCCAGGGCCCAACGTGGTGATGATGGTCCCCCCTCCACCCCCCCTTTCCGACCCCCCGTTCCCCCCCAACTCGATCCGTCGTCAAGGCTAAGAAGGGGGCCGTCAAGGCTAGGAAGGGGGGCTGAGTCTTACCGGACCGTGGGGCTCTGTGCTTGAAAGTGCTGACAGCACCAGGGCTCTGCGTGCTCTCCACGCCTTCAGCCTCCGCCTCGGGGGATGTCCTCCAGTCCTGTCTGTTGGCTTCCCCTTGCCTCGTATTTTTAGCACTACCACTAGCTGAGATGCCGGCTCCTCCCACCTCCAAGGGTCTTGGCTGTCGATGCTTGGGTCTTTTTTGCTGTGCTGGCAGCCCGGCTCCAGCCACAGCGGAGATGGGCTCTGGCCGGTTTGCCCGCTTGCCATGATTTCGCTTCGCGATCGCATCGCGGTGGACGAACAATGAAGTCTCCCATGTACGGAAGCGGTGTCAACATGCGCCGTTTTCACCGGCTCGTCGCACGTCTGGGAACGACCTTGGCGAGACGCCGTTTCAAGGGATCCCAACGCTGGGGCCTCCGGAGGGATGAGGAGAGGAATGCTGTCGCACAGCAGACGCCCAATTGCGCCTCATCATCTCACCGTTGCCAATCTGGCAACTGGGACCCAGTTCCCGAAAGCGTCATCACAAGACAAAGGGAAACGATCATTTCGCTCTGTCCTGGCGATGGATGGCGGCATCCTGGATCCTGCTGACGGACGAGACCCCTGGCTTGCTCTGCCCCACGAGCCGCAACGGACTGTCAGATTCTGACCTTTCCAATCTCGAACGGGCCAGGACGCATCAATCACGCGTGGGGCGCTGGGCATTGGACTGCTCGCTCTTGAGGAGGGCCCACTTTGGTTTGTAGGATGAAGCTGGTTGATGATCGATCACCAAAACGAGATGACCAACCACACGCGTGTCCAGGCGGTTACGAAGAATGGTGAAAGGGCAAGATGAAAAAAAAAAGAAAAAAAAAAACAGTCGTTATCTCATCAGACAAATCGCGCCCCCGGCAACGATGCCTTGGCCACCCCCTAATGCATATCCCTAAGCCTTCTCCTGCCCAACGGGAACCAACCTCCCGACCACGAGATACTTGCTCTCGAACCTCTCCTCCCAGCCCTGTAGCGCCTCCATCTCCTCAGCCCCGAGCCCCTCGAGCGTGTCGAGCGGCCCGTCGAGATCCTTGGTCAGCATGTCCTCGTCGAAGCTCCCACACGCGAGACCCCGCGAGGCGTCGCGGCCGGCAAAGTTGGCATAGGGTCCTTCGGGGCCGTAAAAGTTGCGCCCGCTCGAGACGTCAAAGACGCGGCCGCGGACGGCGAGGTAGACGGGGCTGTTGTCCTTGCCTGTGAAGGGGAGGAGCGTGTGTGGTGTGAAGGTTCGGAAGACGGTGGCCGGGGGTTCGCGCGGCAGAGTCTGCGGCGGCGAGGGGCGGAAGAGGGAGTAGAGGGTGTAGAAGACGAGGAGGGCGACGAGGACGTTGAGGGGGGTCAGGAAGGCGCCGCTGGAGAAAGAGTCCTCTGTCAGTTGGAGGATGGACCGAGGGTCGAGGAGGGGTAGACGGACCTGGAGGGTTCTTTGGCCGCTTCTTGCGACATGCGCTGCTCAACGTAATCCATGTTGACGCTTCGATCCCTTGGGCAGTCGGTGTCCTGGAAAGGCTGTGGAAAGGCTGGGCAACGTAGTTGTTTTGAAAGGATGTTCGGAAGGATCGGGGCTGTGATGATCGTGGTGGTGCCTCGGCATCTCGACACCCAACATTCTGTCTCGCATCAGCACATGGACAGAGCTCTCCGCTTCTGAGTGTTGGAGCTTCCAACCAATGGGAGTGGCTGGATTGAAGCTTGTCACGTGACAGGAACATGACCATCTGCGCCTGATCATTCTCGATCACAACCATCTTGATTCAAGCCTATTTATCTTGACATGTTCAGGAATTTCATGCGCATGTCGGAACAACTGACGGATTCTCTCTCTCAGTCATATTTGTCTCTCGGTCAGATCGCCCACGAACTCCCTTCTCTGCCCTCGCATGGCATACGATTGAGGAATGGTCGAACAAGCTGCTGAAGGTCTTGGCGCAGTCACTGTGATGCCTCTTCTTACCCACGACCGACCACCTGTGATGCAGTATGCGAATGGATCCAATCATGAGGTCAAGTTTGCTTCATGTGTCTTTACGGAAAAAGAACTCCGAGGGAGGTCAAGAGGATCTTGGGGTAAATACTTGACGCACCATGGTCAAGCCTCACTATGGTCTAATCCTTTGACCTCGGCGGCTCCTTTGAGATCAGCCTTTGTATTTGGTCTTTGACCATCGGGGTATGGACTTTTAATCCATCCTCCCAAGCCTTCCAACGTTGGATAAGTACCTTCTGAGCGCACGTCGCGATTCGCCTTCGCAGCTGTTTCTTCATCCTCCACCCTCTTGCTTTGCCTTCCCCTCGACTCCTGACTAAACAGTATCTGGTAACGTCCATCATGGCCTCAGCAAGAACATCCAGCCTGTCTCCTGGGAATATCAAGTATATTGCCAACCGGCCCGCCATCCACCGCCGTTATCCCTCACTGCCCTCAGCGCGCAATCCTCGTCGTGCTGCGCCCCGAAGACGACCCCCTCCTCGCCGCGATGGTGATAACCGCGGCACGGCCATCGTCGTCAAGGTTGGCGGCTCGCTCTTCACCCTCAGCAGGCTCCAAGGTCTCGTTGACAGCGCCCATACCAACGGCAAGATTCCGCGCCGAGTTGTCCTGCCGCGCGACTCGCTCGCCGCAGCAGCCATGGTCGAGCGTTGGAAAGATGTCATTCTCGAAACCCGCCAGGCCGAGCGGGAGGCTGCTTTCAAGGCCATCACGGAAGCAGAGGAGACAGCAGCTTCTGCCGAAGCAACTGCCCAGGCTAGCACGGACGACGCGCCGCAGGCGAAGCGTCCATTTTTGTGGGCGACTGCTCGGACAAGGGGCAGCTCTGTTTGGCGGCCCGTGGAGACCACGACAGCGTCTGGGCGGGTGAAGAAGTTTCTCCGCAAAGTACCGGTCAAACCAGTGTTCGAAAGCCCGGCTCACACTATACCTGTTGCCCCGAATATGCCTGTGAGCAAACCTGTCAGTGAACAGCCTGTCTGCCCGCCACTTTTTCCCGAGAGCCTCGCCACCGAAACACCAACTGTCCAGGTCACAGCCCCCAAGACCTCGACGGCGAAGACGTTGGCTGTCAAAGGGACGAACCCGACACCAGCCGCCTTACCAGAAGCCACTCAGGTGCTAGATCTGGTGACGCCAACCATCCCCAAGCCGGCGAGCAAGACCACAGTCGATAGAGCGGAGCGTCCTTCACAAGCAAAAATCAAGCCACTGGTGCTCAAGCCATTTAACAATGACTGGTTGACTAAAAAGAAGCCAGTCAGTAAGGCGCCAGCTCAGCAACCAGCGAGCAGCACACTATCAACTGCCAGCATGTCAAGCCTTCAGGTGCCAGCGCGTGAGACAGAAAAGACAAAGACACCAGTCAACCCACCTCTGGCCAGCAACCCATTAACCGGGACGATGCCCATCAGCTCACACCCAGCCCTGCAGAAGATAACCATCAAGACATCAGCTCATAGCCCGGCCAGTACACCTCTGACAAGGAAAACACCAAGCAACAGTGCAGTCAAACCCAAAATGTCGACCAGTTCAACGCCAGGTTCCAAGCTTAGACTTTCCAAACCCTCATGAGGTCGCCACCGAGAAGGAACTGTCTAACGGAACAATCATGTGAACGAACTTCGGCTGCCGTAGGTAGTCGCAAGCTTCGAGAAAGCTCATAAGACAAAGTATCGCTTGAGCACACGTCAGAGGTTTCGAGTCATGATGAATGGGCCCCATTAGGTGTGAAAAGAGTTTTCAAGCTCACGTTTAGCTGCATGATTGAGGATGACCTTGGGTAAGGGCGGAGGGGAATGTCCATTGTCCAGTCTATGTAATCATGGCATGGGGGAAGCAGTAGTTTGTGCGCGATTCTAGTCAGGTCATGCTGATAAGAAAGCAATCGCTTGGCATTGGTGTCAACTCACTTTGAAATACTCATCTTTTTCCATCTTTCAAACGTGTCGCCGTCTCCTTTTCCCCCGTGCTGTCACCCTCGAAGGCCCGAGTCCACAGCTCAACTGGCCGCCGCAATCGCCATCTCCCTCTCCACAACAGCCAGCCCCGGCTCTTTGTCCGACTCCACGGCCGGAACCTCCTCCCTCGCACCGAAATCATCCCGTCCGCTCTCAAACACCTTTTCGAAATCGTACTCGCTCCAACGAATCTCGGGGCACAGGCCGGCAAACTTCCACACGCCGTCAATCTTGCGATACCAGTGTTTGTTATAGCTGTGCGCATGCCCCTTGACGAGAACCTCCGACATGCTCGCGTCGCGGTATTTCTGGTGCGGCACGCGCAGCTGGTGGTGGCCCACGACCTCCGTGTCCGAGACGCGCTCCCAGCGGGTGCCGCCGATGAAGTGCTGCGTCTTGAGGAGGGGATCGCCGAGGACACTCGGGGAGGAGATCATGGCGAGGAACTCGGAAGCGGGCATGGCCTCCCAGATCTTGTCTAGGAACGAGCGGTAGTCGATCTGTCACTTGAAGCATCAGAATTGTCAATGTCACAGGCTTGGGAGTGAAACGAGAAGACATACGCGGAGCTCTGGGGCGATGCACCGGGACAGGCGGTCCCAGTCTTTTGAGTCATAGCTGTCGGCCCACTCGAAGCAGGCCGTTGTGAGGCCGAGGTAGTCGTCGAAGGTGATGTTGGCGGGGTTGGGTGCTGCTGCCATGGTGGACGCTGAAGCTGGGTCTGGGCGGTGGCGCTGGTGTCGAGTTCTTGCAGCTGCAGAAAGTTGGAAATCTGAGCTTCAAAGAGGTATTCGTGCATTTTCCTTGACCACTGTCACCTTTTGTATGGCTACCAACATCAATTTGAGACGATTTGACCGCCCTTATGACCGTGGCGGCGGTCGGACTCCGGCGGAGCTGCGGAGATCCACTCCGGAGGCCGGCACCTTGTCTTCGGACTTGGGTGGGGAGAGCCGAAGTTGTATGTGGCCCCGATATCGTGTAGTTATGTCGCGCTTGGACGTTCTTTAATGATTCCCGTCACATGAACTGCGTGCTATGAGTTGGAGTCTGTTCCAATGCAAGGGCGGGTGACAGGCACCACATAGATGACGGACAGTCACCGCTGCGTCACACCACAGTGCCAAGGTAGCCTTGAGCATGCTTCATCGGCCACAACAGTCCCGGTCGGTCACAATGGGATAATCTCGGTCCCGGAATCGTTACCTGGGATTCTCTTTGCGAGGTGTACCAATCATACCAGTGCTACCGTGACACATACTGAACCTAGTCACCCACCTCTCGGGGCGCACTCGCAGAGCCACCCGAGCCCGACGGCAGCACCTGCAACACGGGAATGTACCTCCCTTCTGCTATGGCATCATCATTTGATGCTTGAGGCGTCATGGTTATCCTCTTATCCCTCAACGACTTAATGATCGACCACGCCGAGTAGTCCTCTCTTGAGTGCATCTCCTCTGCCACCTCTGAGAAGCTTCCAACACTGCTCTCGCCATTTCTTGCCTTGACATCTTCGAGCTTGACGGCGAAGTCGACCTCCAGAATGCCGGATGGACGTGGCACAGGGTGCGCCTGCACCAAGATGTACCAGAACCCACAGCCAGACAGGACGGTGACGAGCACCCCCGAAACGATAAACACCCACGCCGTCCACAGCGGTCCAACAAATTTCATGATGGACCGGCCTCCCGTCGCCACCGTCAATAGTTCAGGCGGGAACGCCCGCTTCTCTGGCGGCAGCGCCATGGTATAATTGGCATACTGCAGCGCCGTGATGCCAAACTGCAGCGGCACGGCGAGGAAGTTACGCAGCTGCTCGACAGGCACGTCATGATCGGGAAAGAACTCGGTATAGGTGCGATATTTCCACGCAAGGCGATGAATCGTTACGTTGATCGACTGGCGGTCGATGAGGTCTGCCTCTGCGGTAGGGATGAAGATGTGTCGCCAGATCCGCAGGGCTTCGGGCGCCGACATGGGCTGCAGGACCTGCTCGGATGTCGGCGTGACGTGTTTGATTGAGAGGTCGCTGCGATCGTAGGTCGTCGTCGCGTTCTGGCGGTAGACTGTCATGAGGGTCTTCGTGCGCAGTGGTGCTGTGGCCCAGCGTTCGGGGAGGGGACATTCGCCGTAGAGCTGCGTGAAACTTGGACAAGCTCTCCAGCCTGGGGAGCACTGCGTCAGCGAGGAAGATCAATTGTCTGGTTGGCTCGGGTCTTACCTGCGGCGAGAGAGTCGCCGACCTGTCTGATACACATCTGCAGGCCATCGCTCATGCCTGCAGGCGTGAGGTATACAGCGCACTCTTTCTCAATATCGAAGCGGAAGTCGGCAGGCAGTGGATCAAAGCGGGCTGCGAGGCCCGGTGCTCGCATGATGCTGATGGAGTCGACGTCGTTGAAGGTGCCTCCTTGGAGGATGGTCGAGTTCATCAACGGCACAACCTTACGAGCAATCTCCATGCCGCCGGGGAGGAAGATGGCGGAACAGTTTCCTTCACAGCCTTCCATCGACCATGCTGTTGAGTATCGGGGATAGTTCATGAGCTGCTGGGCCCATGTGTCGAAGAACCCCGCCATGTACGATGCGGGGATATTGTCGAGCACGCTGACATCCGGCGGAATGGTGCCAGCGTAGACAGCAACGCTAGGTCCATCCTGAATGAAATGGTGCTGGAAACTGTTTTGAACTGGATTTTGTAAGTATGCTGTACTGGAACCGACAACGAAAGCCATGCAAGTGGCTTGCTTACATTTGAGAACGGAACCAAAGCCAAGGCCCATGAATGGCAGAGCAAGTCTGTTCAACGTTAAAACATTGTCTTGGACATCATTTCTCATGATGCAGACCTACCTGAATATGCCCCAAGTGTTCCTGAGCCTACTGTCGAGAATAAACTTGAGCACCGAGAACCAGTCGGTCGCCGGACTAAGCTGAAAGAAGCTTGAGGCCGAAGTCCCCCCCTTACCATCAACCCTCGAAGACAACGACCATCTCAATGCATCCAAAAGTCCCTGTACCATGAAGCACAGAACCATGGCATAGAGCTGAGAAAAGATCGAGAGCAACAAGTTGGTGACTGACGCCTCAAACACGAGGACGCCGATCTTGGGGTCCCTCCTGATGAGAACCTTGTGGATGAATAGTGAGTAAAGAACTGTGAACAGCGCGCTGGCGAGCCACGCAGTCAGTGGGAGCCATATCGGGCGACAGTGGCCCCAGAAGCTGCGCTTAGGGACCAGTTGCACTTCGTCTATCGTGACGAGAGGCGAAGGTTCCGGTTTTGTTTCTGGGAGGCGGAGATCTAGCGGCACCTTACGGTCCGAGTCGAAATCAAAGCTGACATCTTCGAACGAAGAGTAATCCGGGTATTGCTCAGGGTACTGTTCCATGCTGGGTGTTTGGAGACGGAAGCTCACATCGCTGCTTTTGCACGAGGTCGTAAAGAGCGTTGGTTCTTAAGGGTCGTGAAGCGAGGCCCTCCGTCGATAAAAGAGGGAAACCTTGGAACGAGAATCATAGTTTGACCCGGCAGATGAGAGGCATCGTTAAGGAAGGTAGGTAGGGACATGCGTTGAGAAACTTGGGGGCCAAAGAAGCCCGTAGTTGGGCTATCCCGTGTTGCGAACCAGCGTGGTCTCTCGACGAGAAGGAAATCGATACAAGGGGGTTGGGGGCCAATGGGCCAATGGAGTTGTCCATCCGAGCCTAGAAGGATGTGTGGCTTTTGGTCTGCATGAAAAGGTGGTATTGGCGAGATGAATAGAGGTTGAAGCCTTGGTGGGAGCCAATCAGACCTGATCGGAAATGCAGTATCACACCCCATCTCCTGGTCGCTGGTTCTCGATTCTGTGAAGTCGGAGGAGGTGCAGACGGAGCTGAACACGCTTTCGGCTCGAAGGCCGCTGGCGTCTTCGTCGGTAACACAAAGCGGAGAGCGCATAGGAGTCGTGACCGGGCAGATCGCAGGCATCATGGAAGGCCACACAAGCGTCGCCAACACCAAATGAAAAAGGTGCGCCAAGTTATTTGAACGAACTCTCGAATTCACATCATCCCATGGTATTTTGTCTGTGTCATCGGCGTGGCGTCGTCTTAACTCAGATCACGGACCGTTCCACGCCTCCTCCACGCCTTTGCTCAGATTACCGCAGCGGGGTGGCTGAATGGGCGTCCGTGCCTGCAGGGCGAGCAGGTGTCTGATTTCCCCCTCCTCGGATCCCTGGCCAGAAAATTATAGCGAAAGCAACGATTGGCGGAAGACCGACGGTGTGCTGGTGTCTCACCATGTGGTCTTCGTAAGGCTGGATTAAGAAAAACGGAGCAGCCAAAACCAGACGGGTCATCAATCGCTCCGAAGGGAACCCTTCGCTTCGCGAGTGACTTAACACGCGATACGTCAGTGGATAGCGCGCTTCGTGCGATTCCTAAGTGCGTATATTAATCCGGCAGTCGGTTAGGGTCCAGAATCTTACCCAGAGACTAGAACAACATCGTTGCATCTTACTGACTCGACGTTATCCATTTATCCGATAAAGATTCCCATAGAACTGTTGTTGCCGATCAGGCAAGGTTCTGTTCTGTGACCCAGGAGTACTTTCATCCCAAATGTGGAGTCCTCATTTGATGCATTTGTTCTGTCGTTATCGCCCCGGTAAGACTCCTTACCGATGCTGGATCTGACCAATTACCTTCGTTTGGACTTCTGGAAGTCTCCTTTTGTACCTTAACAACAATCAATCCACTTTGTTCAATTCCGTGGTGACAGTTATGAGCCCGGGCGACGATACAGCTCCTTGACCTTCGATATCTACAGCAGGGCGCCTACGGCCAATACGCCTGCTGCGAAGCTGTCTACAGCTGAATCGCCGCTGCACTTCAACAGTCAATTGACGCGACGTTTCGCCATTGACGACCACTGGCCAAGGGCCGTTACCGACATCCTCCAGGAGAGCGATCATCTCTCCACGACACATCGAAGCAGGAGAAATCAGCTCCTCAAGACCAATTGAACCTCCGAGACGTGTGGCCTAGGGCTTGAGTACACGCGGGGTCAATTGATGATATTCAACATACACGCGATCAGTCGCGACCATCGAACGACCTCCCCGACGGTCTCCGACAACGCCCAGGGATCCTCAAGATGGACTCTGGTAAGCACAGAGTGACACTTACAAGGAGGGAGGAATGGAGGACATGGCTCAACTCCGTCAGAGCCGTGGCGACCTCCTACGAGGCCTGGGATCTAGTCGACCCAGACAAAGAGGCTGACAGGCGGCCCAAGAGGGCCAAGAAGCCAACAGCACCGTCATTCGAAGATGAGACGCGAGATCTCAGCACACTGCTGACGTTGTACAAGATCCATTTGGACATCTACAACAGGGAGTCAGCGGGCCTCCAGGAGGTCCAGAAATACATCCTCAACACAGTCGACAGGAGCCTTTCGGCCGTCTTCATGAACGAGGAAAGCAGCCAGGAGTGGCTCAAGGCGTTGAAGGACCACTTCGCCCCTTCCGACATGGGACAGAAACAATACATTCGCCAGCGCTGGGAGGAGCATATGGCGATGATCAAGAAGATGGACCATGAGAAGTGGGTTGACGACTTCATCCTACTCTGTATCGAAGTTGAGAAGCACGGGATTCCTCAGCTTAAAGAAGCCGCAGATCAAAATGTTCAATTCCTTCGGGCAATTCTTTCCGTGTCTCCAGGGTGGGCCGAAGCAGAGTGCGCCCACCAAGTTCGCCGGGAGCTGGATGATCGTGATGGAGGGAAGGTACTGGCGTTGAGGTACAAGAGCTACCTTAGAGACTACCAACCGCATCGCCTCACCACCAAGCCATCTCAGACGTCCTTCTACAGCGACTCGGTGACCTTCATGGGCAAGGACCGGAATGGTCAAAGTGATCGGACGAGTGCCCAGGATTCCCATCGTGACTCTCCTCAACAGCCAAACAGCT